CACATCAGCTCTGAATCAGTGCTGGCTAAATGAATTGAGAATCCTGTGAGTATATCTGTGTACACAAAAGCAAAGCTCTCATTTTCTCAGGTTGGGCAGGCTCCTTCCTGCTCCTCTGTCCTCGTAACATCAGTATTTATTAGGCCGCCGGTCCTGGGTTAGAACTTGCACCTGACTGGCATCTGGAATGACTTTTGATTGGGACTGGCATGTTTCCTCGCTGACTCTTGCCAGGGTCATGACGAAGCAGCCTCCACCCTTGCTGTCTGCAGTGAGACATTGGCCTCTGTTGTCATCGACCTTCCTGTAGTAAATGTCCCACAGAGACACTGTCTACAACATCACTCCTATGTGGGGTCTCACCAACTTGTCACCAGACAGAACATCAGAACAGTGAATTTTAGGAAATGAGAAAAGTAGGGAGGAATTTTTAAAAATGTAAAATTCTTGAATATTTTGAATAAGTAACATTATCTACGTATTTCAGAGTTCAAAAGTCACAAAGTTACATACTGTGAATTCCCCTCCCTGCTGTATTCAATAATTATATAGTAGCATTTTGGAGAAAACCATACATATATGTGTGTATGTATGGAATGTCTCCATTGTTGTCACTATTTGCTTTTCCTAGATATTTCTCCTGTCTTCTCCACAACAGCGTCCACTTTATCCACCCCCACCCAAAACCTAGGACTTAGCTGAGTGATTTGGACAGGTACCTGGCAGATGCTATGGACCAGCTGACAGCATGTCTATACTACAAGAATATTTGATGAGTCAGGGCATTGAGCATCTTTCTTTGATTGTGAATTAGATGCATTTTCATTCACTTATGTTCTCGTTCTTCCAAGACAAGCCAAGAAGTGCTGATCGTCACATTGGCCTTACTTGTGTATCTTCCTTTCATAACCCATTGCTTCCATTCGTATTGTCGCCAGTTAAGAATGGTTTAGGGCTCACTCACACATTTTTCAGGGGATGATTGTGCAAGCAATGTTGATATTTTCCAACTTTTTTTTTTTGCCTCTTCAGTTGTTTCTTCTTCATGCTTTTGCAAGGAAAATCATCATCTCTGACTCACCCCTTTTCCTCTCCCTACCAACACCCACCCACAGGGGCTTTGTGTCCTGCCTTTCCCTTCCAGAAACCTTTGAAGATGAGCAAAGAACTAAAGGAATCAGATTCCTGTCTCTCCTAGAGACAGGCTTTGGCTTATGGTTGTGCCAAGGTACCGAGAGTTTCGGAGCAGTCTCTCGCCTTGGCAGGTGTGAAGGATCCCTCTGCTTCATGGCCACATCCTGTGTTCTCTGCTGCTTTTCTTCTGGGCCCCTAACGGCTCAGAGACCTCAGGTCTCGAGCAATTTCCTTGGGCTTCCACTTCCCTCCAACAGTCTTGTCATCGGGCAGCAGCAGCCACAGTCCTCTGGGTGCAGGGGCCAGTGATTAAGTAGCCAGGTCTTTAGCTCCCCCATCCTTGTTTGTCATAACTTTGCTATTTTGGTCTCCGTGACTTGTGGCTGCACCATGATTAGGGTTTGATTACTATCACCAAAGCGACTCGAAGATGAAAATAGAAGCCATAACAGGAAATAAACAACTGCAAATGAGATATTTTATTCCATATTCCCTGCCAGCAAATGATTAGAATCAAACTCATTCACAATAGTTTGGTTTGCTCCTAAACTTTATTTCTTAAATTTTTGTAATGATCAGGATAGTTGGAAGCTGTGTATCAGTGGGTCTCCTTTGTGCCTGTGAAGGGAAAGAAGGGCCTCCCTTTCTAGGTACACCAGCCAGGCAAAGCTTAAGGCCTGCCTGCCTCCTGGCTTCTGGCTTCTTTCTTGGAAAGGAAAGGAGTAAGACTGTGATGGGGTGGGGCTGGCTGTCAGGAAGGTGGAGATGTTAACTGATTCAGGGGATACCAAGGAGCCATAAAGCAGTACCAACTACTGCAGCTACTTGCCCAGCATCCCACCCACTTCTACCTAGGGTAGTAAAATGGAAGAGGAAAGCCATGTAGAGAGGGCAAAATAAGGGTGACGCCTGATTTAAAACACCCACAATTACACTAGATGGGAACATAGCTCTGCAAGTATATGCATGTTCCACCCAGACAAGCTGTGACGTCAGACCCAACTCCTGAAACACCCACTAAACCTACCTGCCATGTGTGCTTCGCCTCTCATCACAAAGGGTGTTAGCACCACTGGACACATTTCCAGAAGAGTCTTCAGATTCTCCATGCAGCCAGGAAGCTTAGAGTGGTGACATTTGCTTTCTCTGTTTCTCTAATCCTTTCTGTCACTTTGTAGCCTGGCCTGATCTCTGTCTTCTAGGGAGACCTAGAGCACAGAGCAAATAGGGCCCTGAGAGGCAAGACACCTGCCCAGAAAGCCTTGGGAAGCCTGCCAAGGCTCACCTAATAGTACAAGTTGTTTAGCCAGCCAGTGGCAGAGCCCCAACCTGAAAGCAGGTTTTCTGACTTTTACTCTGCTATTCTTCCTAAACCTTTCTGAGTATATTATACATTTCCCGGATACCTCAAAAGTCCCATTACCATCTCTTCGAGGCCTCCTCCTGCTTACACACACACCATAGTTTCAAAGTAACACTTTACCATAAAAATACACAATTGTAGCCTATGTGACCTTACACAGTTACTGTTCAGAATGTCACTTTCAGCCTTGTCCTGCACACATTTCTGCTCTGAGGCTTTCTGTTGGGGTGTCCTTGCCTGCACGGGATCATGTAACCTATGTGGCTGACTTTTTTCTCATATTTGTACCATCAAAGGTGATTTTGGTGGGGTAGCAAGGTGGTCCAAATGGCTCCATAAGTCGTAACCAATTGTAAGTGCTGATTTCTAGTTGTGTGTGTGTGTGTGTGTGTGTGTGTGTGTGTGTGTGTGTGTAGGGGGGAGGGCAGTGCTGGGGACTGAAGCCAGGATCCTGATGGGCAGCACTCGCAGTTTTAAAAAATTTTTTGGTCTTGAGTAGTTTTTTTTTTTTTTTTTTTTTGGTCTTTTTTTGAGACGGGGTCTCGATAGGCAGTTCAGGATGGACTTGAGCTCACTTTGTAGCCCAGGCTGGTCTCGAACTCACAGTGATCCCCCCACCTTAACCTCAGAGTTCGTGAGTCACCACACGGGGCTAGTTTTTTTTTTTTTTTTTTTTTGTCTTTTTCATTTTTATCGGTACCAGGGGTTGAACTCACGACCTCCTGCTTGCAAGCAGGTGCTTATGCCGCTGAGCTAAATCCCCAGCCCCACCCGGCTAGTTTTTTAAAATATTAAACAGCTATGCACGTTAGGAATCTTTTAAATTGCTAGAGAAGAGTACTGAGCTAATTAAGATGTTTGATTCATGCCTGCCCTTTTTTTTTCAAAAACATTATTAATTTAGATGGGGAAATACAAACACTATATTTCACTTTTTCTAAAGAAAGTTCTTTTTTTTTGTTGTTGTTGCAGGGTCTTATTATGGTTTTGTTTGCTTTTGAGAATGGGTCTTACAGTGCAGTTCAGGATGGTTTTTGAACTTACTTAGTTTAGGCTGGCCTCAAACTCCTGGCGATCCTCCTGTCTCAGCCTCTCAGTGCAAAATGGCCTTGAACTTGCTTATGCAGCCCAGGTTGGCCTTGAACTCAACAGTGATCCTCCTGTCTCAACCTCCTGCGATTACAGATCTGTGCCACCAAGCTTGGCTCTAAAGATTCTTTTAAAATCCTCAGTGAGTTTCACTGCTGTCTAGATGTTACAATTCTAAGTGACTTCAAACAAACAAATAAACAAACCTGTATTTCCATGAATAAAACGTGAAGGTAGATTACTAGGCCAACTAGCGGTCTCCTCAATAACTATGCGCATGTAATATTTAAATACTGTAGTACGTTTCTCAACACCAGAGGTTTTCACGACGTAAAAGAGCTCACGTCCTTAGCCTGACCAATGCCTTCCCTGTTTCCTTGCAGCAATTTCTATCTGGGGATATGTTTCTCTGAAGCCTGATAAACTTTCCGACCCCAAGCACCGAAGGGTGTAGAAACCAGCACCGCATGCAAATGAACGCCCTAGGCGGATCTGCTCCCGGGGTAACCTTCCCGCGCCGGGAGGCGGGTGACGAGGTCTTCCGGGCCCGGGAGGAAACCTGCCGGCGGCGCGCAGGCGAGCCCCCCTCGCCCCCCTTCTCCCGCCAGGATGCTGCCCCTCGCAGCTCGTCAGCCGGCCAAATGCATTCCAGAGCTGTGCACAAGACACGCTTCTCCAGGCAGTCCTAGAAACTGGAGCCCCGAGCGGGAGAGGGCGGGAGGAGGGAGCGCGCGGCCGCCGCTGAGGTCACACTGCGCCGCCTCCCGCCCTCGCCGCCCGGCTGTTCCCTCCAGCGCACACTTCCCAGGGCCTCGGTCCAGCCTGGTGGAAATGTCTTCTAAACAGAGGCAGCCTTCTCCTCCTTCCCTCCGGCACGGCCAAGGACCTGCCGCCGGGGCCTTTAAAACAAAACGAATGAATGAAGCCCCGGGGCGCGAGCGCACTCGGGCTGCCCCTGCGAAGTCGCGCAGGGTCTACACCGGCCACCGACCGGCTGGTTCCGCTCCAAAACTCGCGGGCGATGCCCGCTCGGGGCTGCCGGCTCTTGCAATTTCTCCTATGCTCCAGCTGGGTCACAGGCGGTTCCGAGAGCTTCTGGGTTCCCCTCTTCCCCCCACATACATCGGTCCCCTTTCTTCAGACCCGGGAGGGGTTGGCAGTGGCGGGGTGGGGGGGGGAGAAATAGCTTTTAGAAACCCGATCTGTTGTTTGCGAAACACAATCGCCTTTTTTTTTTTTTTTTTTAAAGCGACAGGGTGTCTAGACAGCCACGTGACGAGGCCGGAGCCGGGCGCGCCACTGCGCAGTGGAACCAGCCGAGCAGAGGGCCGGGCGGGGGGGCGGAGAGGAGGCGGCGGCGGCGGCGGCTGGGGGCGGGGGAGGGAAGGGAAAGAAGGGGGAGGGAAGGGGGCGGAGGCGGGAGGCCTTGCGGGAGGCGGCGAGCCCTGAGCACACTCGCTTGCTGCTCTGCGCACGGAGGCTCCTGTCCCCAAGCCGAGCCAGCCGGGCGCCGTGCTCGGTCCGCTCGCCGCGCCGGAGAGAGCTGCTCGAGACGGAGCCAGCCCGCCGGCGCCGAGCCGCCGAGCGCCCGGCTCCAGAGCCCCTGAGTGCGGCGCGGCGAGCCCCCGGCGGCGGCAGAAGAACCCGAACGCCGGGAGAGGGAAAACGGGGGACAAGGAGGCTCCTGGTCGCGACGAGGAGAGTCTCATAGGAGGAGGCGGTGAGAGGACACTCGGGCCTCCTGCCGCTGCAGCCGGGTCGGGGCGAGCAGCTCACGCGGGGAGCCCCAGCGGCTGGCTGCGGTCAGGGGAGGGGGCACCAGCGGCCCCCCGCACTGGCCAGCGGCTTGTGCCCTGGAGGGCGAGAGCGCGCGACCCGCCAGCGGCCCGCCGCCGCCGCGCCGCCCTCCCACGCGCTGTCAGCCCTGAGGGGCGCAGACGCCGCCGCAGCATCTTCTGCCCCTGCACCCCCGCCAGCGTCGAGGAAGTCCCCGAGGAGGACCGGAGCCCCTGTGAGCGCAGGAGGAAAGACCAGAGACTCCTAATACACCAGATGCGCAGGATTGAAGCAGCCTAGCCAAAGCTTTCTGTGGATTAAAAAAATACACGATTTTTTTGAGGGGGGGCAGAAGAAAAGGAGAGGAAGATCAGTGGGGCTCTGCAAGGGGAAAAAAAGGGGGATGTAACTCGTGGATACGTTTTTCTACCCCTCAAACATCTTGTTCTACTTTGTAAACATTTTCTTTTTTTAAACCCAGGCTCGAGCCGGACGCCCCCAGACCTCCAAAGGTACGAGGAGGTGGTGTTTTTTTCTTTTGAGGCTTTGCCTATTTGGTTTTTAGGTTTTGAGAGAGCCTCCTTATTTTCTCCAGACGTCTCATGCGGGGTGAAGTCCACTCGGCCCCCTCCCCCGAGTCTTCGTGTGCACGGAATTCGAAGAGATCCGGTTACTAAGGATATAGACAAAAAAAAAAATAAATCGCGTGCCTGCCTTTTTTTTTTCCCTTCCCTTTAATTGCCAGTTTCTCCCCACCCCCAAATTAAGTTGCTTAGCAAGGGGGAAAAGAGGCTTCTTCGCCCCTCCAGCAGCCCAGCCGAACGCCTTTCGTTTTTTGCCCCTGCGGGTCTTCCATGTAGGAAGCCGAGGCTGGCGAGCCCCACACTCGGGAGCCACTGCGGGGGGGCCTCTTTTTGGAGAGGCGCCGGCGGGGGCAGGCTCGGCCGCCCCCAGGGAAGCCTCTGCCGCGTTCCTCCGGGGCGCGCCGGGGCCCGAGAGCCGCGCAGGGCGCGGGCCGCGCGGGGTGGGGCAGCCAGAGCGCAGGCCCCCGAACCCCGGCGGGCGCCCCCGGGCCCCCGCGCGCGCCCCGGCCTCCGGGAGACTGGCGCATGCCACGGAGCGCCCTTCGGGCCGCCGCCGCTCCTGCCCGGGCCCCTGTTGTTGCTGCTGTCGCCTGCGCCTGCTGCCCCAACTCGGCGCCCGACTTCTTCATGGTGTGCGGAGGTCATGTTCGCTCCTTAGCCGGCAAACGACTTTTCTCCTTGCCTCCTCGCCCCGCATGTTCAGGACCAAACGATCTGCGCTCGTCCGGCGTCTCTGGAGGAGCCGTGCGCCCGGCGGCGAGGACGAGGAGGAGGGCGCGGGAGGAGGCGGAGGAGGAGGCGAGCTGCGGGGAGAAGGGGCGACGGACGGCCGGGCGCATGGGGCCGGTGGCGGCGGTGCCGGCAGGGCTGGCTGCTGCCTGGGCAAGGCGGTCCGCGGTGCCAAAGGTCACCATCCCCACCCCCAAGCCACGGGCGCCGGCGCGGCCGGGGGCGCTGAGGCGGATCTGAAGACACTCACGCACTCGGTGCTCAAGAAACTGAAGGAGCGGCAGCTGGAGCTGCTGCTCCAGGCCGTGGAGTCCCGCGGCGGTACGCGCACCGCGTGCCTCCTGCTGCCTGGCCGCTTGGACTGCAGGCTGGGCCCCGGGGCGCCCGCCAGTGCGCAACCCGCGCAGCCGGCCTCGTCTTATTCGCTCCCCCTCCTGCTGTGCAAAGTGTTCAGGTGGCCGGATCTCAGGCATTCCTCGGAAGTCAAGAGGCTGTGTTGCTGTGAATCTTACGGGAAGATCAACCCCGAGCTGGTGTGCTGCAACCCCCATCATCTTAGCCGACTCTGCGAACTAGGTAAGTTGTCCCCTGTTTACCCCCACCCCCGGCGCGCTAGAGGTGGAAGAAGAGTATCCTCGGGCTGTGTTTGTGGGCGTGCAACCACCTCCCGGGGGGGAGTACATCCCCCTGCTGGAGGAGACGTGGAGACCGAGGCAGAGAAGGAACCGGGGAAACTCGAAGGGCATTCCTTGGGGGTTCCCTTCAAGGCTTTCTTCTTCTGTCGCCCCGAGGGTGTCCCTGGGCACTGCTGTGGCACACATTGTACGGAGGTACAGCTAAAAATTAGACTCAACCTATTTCCGGATCACTAAGGGGATGCTGAGAGAAGTGGGGGTCACGCCTCCCCCGCACCCGGAAAGGCGGTGAGGTGTGTGGCCGAGTTGGATTTGGTCCAAGCCCGCCAAGGAAGGCTGGGAAAAGCGAGCTATAAATGCTGAAAAGTCCACGCCTTTAGTAAATAAGGAGACTTACCTCGGGCACAAGTGGCCCAGATACTACTCTGGCCCCACAGCTTTGGAGTTTCAGGGGTAGAGGATTAGGATGGGAGACCAAACTGGGTACTTACTTTCATCTCTGCCAGCCCCGAGGTGAAAAGGAATCAGAAGTTGGGTGCCTTTCCTTTTTTTCCACTTTCTTACAGAAAACATGTAACTACTACTATTTAGAAAGGTGGACAGAGACTCGGTGACGTTGCAGCCCCTTAACTGTGCAGGGGCCTGGGTTTCAAGGCTGAGACCCCCGAGCCTACGCTTTTATCCTAGATTCTTTTTTCCCCGTGTCTTTAATGCTCGGCGTGTGTAGGTTGTATTGCACTCAGGGCCCCGCAGATTCCCCCAAGTTCACCGGTACACTAGGGGCGCATCTCCCAGGTGGGCTGGGGAAGGGGAGCCTCAGGTGCCCCGCGGAGCAGCCGGGGGCGGAGGTGAATCCCACCCCGGGGGGCAGACAGGCTCGGAGGAGGGCGGGGCGGCGGGGTCTGGAGTTCAGGACGGGAAGGGGGCCCGGTCGCCCCCAGCTCCGTGAACTGTGAAGTGCGCGGCCGTGGCCGAGCCGGTGATTTCCAGCCGGGCCCGCCGAGCGCTGGGGCGACGGCCGCAGACGTGGAGGAGCGCAGCGCCGAGGCTGGCGCCAGGCGGCCTCTTTTGTTTATCTGACAGCTAAATATCAAGGCAATCACCGCCTCGCGGCCCTGCCTCCAACCCCCACAGCTAAGACAAACAGTTGGGCTAAAAGAATGCCTCTGTTATCATAAGTTTCTATCTGTTTCTCATGGCTGGGCCCTTACACTCTCTTACTTTTTAATTCCAGAGTCTCCCCCCCCTCCTTACTCCAGATACCCGATGGATTTTCTCAAACCAACTGGTGAGTAGCTGACTTTCAAAATACCTTTCCTGTCTTCACTTTAGAACTAGAACCTCTAGAATCCCGGTCATTGTATCTGTGTGGCACCAGAGGGAAGTACTAGACTCGCTCAAGTTTCCTCTCTTGGAAGTTTGATAAATTTTTGTTGTGGCTGGGTCCCCCCTGCCCTCACCCAAGACATTTCCTAGATAATCCTTTACTTTTGTTCCTTTTAAATTTTTTTTCATTTTGTTCCTTTTTATGTATTTGCGCTCTGGGACCAAACTTAGCTCAGCTGTAACACATGGAGGCTTTAATCCATGCAAAAGCCTCTTGCGCCAAATAGGGCAGGTTGTTGGGAAAATTTGGAGATTTTGAAAGTGCCAGGAGAATCAGTGGGCAGAATGGAAAGGATGATAAGATGGAAGGGAAGACAGTTTCCGAAGGGGCAAGAGGGAGTTTGGGTTTGGAATAAGACACTAGCAGCTTTAAGCTTTGGCAGCCAGTAAGAGGGAAGTAGGTTCCCCCTCTCTCCCAGTCACCAGTGATTCAGTCCCCTCCTGGGGTTTTCTCAGAATTCTTGGTAGGGGCCATAAAAGTTTTTAGCATAGCTCTGCCTGCCTGTTGCTTTGTCACAGGATGGCACAGGGCCAGGGCAGAAGCCCATTTAAGACTGGCACCAGCCTGGTTGTGGTTGTCTGCATTCAACTTCTGGCTGGCAGCACAGAGAGGCCCATCCTTTGGAGCTGACAGTGCCAGGGGACAGGGTCAGCAAAACAGATTGGGGATGACAGGAGGAACAATCCCTGTTTCCTGGAGCTCCTTCTTACAGTGGGAGTTCATTTGATAAAAGTACCAATTGTAATTTAGAGTTTCTGCCTGTATGCTGGTGCCTGAAAATATGTAATGCTTGTGACATTTGTATTTTGCCAAGCTTCTAGCAGAAAGAAAAGTGAAGGGTTGGGCACCATTTAGCTCCTGGAATTCTACAAGTCCTTCCGCCTCATGAGTTTGGCTGTTGGGCCTTTCTCCCCACTAATTAAAAGTTTTGCTGGGGCGTTGTCATAAATTAAATACTTTAATGAATGTGTAACCGAAGCCCATGCTCTGCAGCCAGCCCTCCCGGGACTCCAGCTCTTAGTTAGGAAGGCGTTCCTGCTTGCCTGGTGCCTGTCTAATAAGTGCCCTGCAAAGCATGTGATATTTTGCTTTCGATTTACAAAACAACAGATAAATGGTCATTAATGAGATAACCAGCTCTCTGAGTTTGTAACAAAAGTTAACTGGCATTACCAAGCTCTGTATTCCTAAAGAATGTTAACTTGCTGGAGTTTTTGGCAGAGAGAATCAAAAATTCTTTTGTGAGGTTAGTTCTCCAAGGGGAGAACTGTTTTCATGTTCTTCAAATTTGAAGGTTTTCTTTAAGAGGGACAGCAGTCTCCGTGGCCCAGGAGTAGAGTATGGGGGTAAATGTTTGCCAGGATCATTCAAAAACCATAGAAAAGAAGAGCCTTGTTTACTTGGGTCTGTTGCAAAGATACTGGGATAAATCTGTTCCCAGAATTTAAGCAGTTATTCTGCCAGGCTGGGACCTCATTTTCGGTGAGTGGAGTGATATATTTATTCATTAGCAAGTGTTGACATTAGGTAGCAAAATGTGTATAAACAGAGAAGCCACAAAGACGGGAATGTGCCATTTCTAAGGGGGTGGGGGGGGGGAGAAATGTTCTTCAAATCAGCCAATAGGAAGTGATTAACCTGCCAATAGGAAATTCAAACAGCTGATTACTCACCCAAAAGGCTTTGTTTTAAACAAAACAAAAGCAAAAACAACAACAAATCACTGTTGTGTAAGAAGGTGAAGGTGGTAACAGATGAAGCCCCCAGGAGAGAAATGGTCCCAAGGCAAGGCTGGGCAGCCAGGTCTGGGGTTGGAGGGACATAGGGTCAGGTTTGGGGCTGGTTTTGCTGGCAGCTGTGGCTGGGATATTGTGGTTAGAGGGGAGTGGTGCTGCTTTAGGTTTTTTTTATCCCCACCTAAGGCTTAGGGAGAGTGTTGTTTGGGGCCTGGGAATTTACATTCTTAATTGCTAAGCCTCAGGTTGAATTTTTGGTCTTGGGTTACTAGGTGAAACAGGCATAAGGTTTTACAGTGGGCAACTGTTAAAGTTTTTATCCAGTTTCACAATTAAGAGAATCCATTCACCAAAGTCTTCAGCTTGGGAAGAAACTATGGGAGTTGGGTAGGGTACTGGCTGGCTAAAGCTGGAGGGTGTTCTGACTTGCCAAGGTTTAAGCTGCCCCGCTGCAGCCTCTGTGAGGCCCTGGGTTTTGTGTAGCTGGTATTGTGAAGTACCCTAGCAGTGTCCTCTGCAAAGGAATGTTAGATGTGCCTGAACCTCCGGGCAAGGAGGCTATGACTTGTGGCTCTTGGAAATAGAGAAGGTACTCCTGCCTCTTCCATCCCAGAAGAATAAGAATTTGCCACTAGGTATTAGATCTCAATTTATGGCATGGAAATGCTGGGTAAATAACTGAATTCTGCTTCCTGAGTTTGCTGTATCACCTTATCTGAAAGGCTGGAAGAATACCTGGGCTGGGGGTGGGTGCTCAGTGTTGTGGGATCTGGGAACTCAGATGCCCAGGGCCCATTAGATTGTGCTTGCGTGGCCTAGTAGACACCTTAACCTAAGATCTGGCCTTGTTTTGACTTTTAATTTCCCAGTTTGCTTGCCTTTTTTTTTGGTACTAGGGATTGAACTCATAGCCTTGCGCTTACCAGGAAAGCGCTTGAACCACTGAGCTAAATTCCTGGCCCCAGATTTCTTTTTAGAAGCCCAAATGATGAAAGAGTTCTATTGGATGATGCATTCATTCATTGTTGGTTCATTCATTTGTTGGTTCATTCATCATTGGTCGATTCACAGGTGGAATGATGTGCCTGCCAAAAATCCTGAGGATTCCAACACAGTGCAGTGTTCTTCTGTGACTAGGGTTCCTTTGAGTTTTGGGTTGGTTGAATCATGTAGGCAAACTTTTGGGGATATTGGTAGTGGTAGTGGTGGTGTAGGTGGACTCCTGACCCCATCAGTGCTTAGGAAGCTCCAAACAAGGTTGATAAAACTGCCCTGGCTCTGTGTGAGAGCAGTTTGGTGAGACTCCCTCATCAGGTCAATCTTTGGTTGTTTCCTTGGTTTGGGTTTTCAAAGGCTGTAGGAACAAACCTGTGTGGAACAGCTGGGAGAAGTGAATGAATCTCTCCCACAGTACCTTGCCCCTTACAGGGTGCTTGGTAATAGTGGTGGAGGAAAACCAGGAATGGCCTAGTGCTGCTGCCTGCCAGCCTGGCCTTGGGAGCAGGAAGCAGAGAGTGAGGCAGAGGTGAGACCCTGCCTTTAGATCTGTCTTTGTAGAGTTGTTTTTTTTTTTTTGTTTTTGTTTTTTTCATTTTTATCGGTACCAGGGATCGAACTCACGACTGCCTGCTTGCAAGGCAGGTGCTTATGCCGCTGAGCTAAATCCCCAGCCCCTGTAGAGTTGTTTTTTAAATTTTTTTTTTTATATTTGTGGGGAAGGTTTGGTGGCCTGAGCCAGGTGTTAGCTTGAGACCAGTCAGGATGCTGAAGACTATCAAAGCCTGGCCACCTTCCACGGCTCGTCTGGAGAGAACCATGGGATAGGTAGGAGCTGGACTTTTGGGGATAGCTCACCTCACTGGGTGGCCACTTGAACAGGGTGCCTCAGTTTACCTGGGTGCATGTGAAACTGGTATGCTTTGCTACCTCACAGAGGTGGTAGGGAGGTCTAATTAACGTTTGTAAATCCCTTCTGAGATCAAAGGCACTCTAGGAGGGCAGAGCACCATTTCATAAAAACGCTTGTGGTTGCCAGCACAGAGCTGGCTTACCTTTGATGTGAAGCAGGCTGACACCCTGCCTGTGGTCTCAGCTCTGCAGGGAGAGGCCAGTCTTTTTTTTGAAACACACCTTGCCCTGGCATCCAGCCAGCCAGAGCTGGGGGGCGTGGCTGTGGGTAAGTCCTTGTGTTTAATGTGGGGGTGTCTTCCATTTGGTGAGTGTGTAGAGAGAGGGAAGGGGATGAGAAGCTTATCTCTAGAAAATGGTGAAGGCCATTAGAGTAGTTTAGAAAGTGCGGGGCATACACTGTTTAACAAGTAACTCTGTTTCCTGGCTTCTATTGTTTTCTATTTGATTAAGTGTATCCTGTAAAGCTGTATATTCCTGTTAGGAATTATACTTTTTTTCTGATGAAATGAGATTACACACAGTCTTCTCTATCCTGCCATCAGCCTACCCCTTCCCTGTTTTAAGAATTCTTTTTTTTTTTGAGTGCTGGGGGATTGGACCCAGGGCCTGAAGCATGCTAGGCAAGTGTGTTTATCACTGAGCTGCTTCCCCAGCCCAGGAGAATACAGCAGAGGCTATCAGAGAATACAGGAGAGGGAGGAAGGATTAGAGAGAACTGACTATCCAAGAGGCAGACAGAATCTCAGAAACAGCTGGGGCCTCTATGTAGACTTGGTTGGCTTCCATCGCTTTGTCAGGTACTGGAGGTAGCAACTGCCAGTCAAGGGCTCCTCTAGGCTGTTGGCTTCTGGGCTGTGCTTTGGTTTGGCTTCCTATTTGCCTATGTTGCCAAGGAGCTTTAGTTGGAAACCCATATTGTGCACCAAGGGACATCAAGCAGGTGGCCTGGTCACGCAAGTGGGTGAGGGACTGGAGTCTGCAGGAACTGACCTGGTGTCAGGCTTTCTACCTGGACTTCAGGAAGTTTAGCATTGGCAGTGGTGTGTGAGGAACTTCCAGGATCTTGTGTATTTGTGTTGAGACTAACAAGCTGTGGTATTATTTCTTTTAATTGCTTGGAAGGTAGTTGTAGAGTCTATTGATCCTCATTAACATTGAGGTCTCTGTGCTGAACACTTGAGAGCGACTGAGAAGTCAAGGAGAAAGCTAGTCAAGACAGTGAAAAATCTGACAGTAAAAAAAAAAAAAAAATCAGTGAAGACAGTGGACTGAGTGCCAAAGACATTTTGTAGGTAGCCTTATAAACTAGGAAGATTTCCAGTGATGGAGGAATGTGGACCAGTCTGAAAGCAGAGCCTCTCCCAGCCCCCGAGGGTTGTGGCTTGATCTGGTGGTGCTTACTCAGGTGCATATATGAGTAAAAATCAGAGACCTCTTCAAATTTATATAGTTTGCTATACTTCTGGTTTTTTCGAAATGGGATCTTGCTATGCAGCCCAAGTTGGCCTCAAACTGGAAACTTAGTGTGTTTGCTATACTTAAATTGTACCTAGTTGAAAAGGAAAAGCCAGCGCCTGCCTTGCAAGCAGGCAGTCGTGAGTTCGATCCCTGGTACCGACTAATAAAGAAAAGGAAAAGCCCTCCTGAACTGGGAAGTTTGTTTTAAAATATGAGGATGAATGGAGTGTGGTAATAGAAGCCTTTAATCTTAGCTCTTTGGGAGGCAGAGGCAGGAGGGTCTCAAATGTAAGCCTAGCCTGGGCAATTTAGTGATTTGTTAGACTTTGTCTCAAACAGTTTGGTAGAAGTACATCTCACGGGGCTGGGGATTTAGCTCAGTGGCATAAGCACCTGCCTTGCAAGCAAGCGGTCGTGAATTCAATTCCTGGTACCGATAAAAATGAAAAAGAAAAAAAAAAAAAAAAGGAGTACATCTCACCATATGTATAATTTATTTTACTTTATTTTTTTTGGTGTCTGGAATCAAATTCAAGACCTTGCACTTCCCAGGCAAGCACTTACACCATTGAGCTATATCACCACTCCTAGACTCTGACGTCGAAAAACAAAACAAAAAATTAAAAGGCATGGGAAGTCAGGTGTGGTGTTGCACTCCTGTAATCCCAGCTCTCATAAGGCTGAGGCAGGAGGAGCACTGTGAGTTCAAGGCCACCTTGAGCTACATAGCGAGACCTTCAAAAAAATGAGGTGGGGGGACCTGGAGATAACTCAGTATAAAGATTCTGAGTTTAAACCCTGCTCACCATGGAGGGGGAAAAGATCAGAGAAAAACCTTCCTTTAGGGGTATGTAGCAGATAGCCAGGAGGATTTTTGCCTTTGGTAGGGGAAAGATGGTTTTGCCTTTGGTAGGGTTAAGAAAAGTACACCCCAAACCTCCTCTGACCTTGGGAACCACCTGGTCTTCTCAATGGAGACTTAATAATACAAGAGAAATTCCAGCCAGTCTGTGATTGAGCCTGACTTGACTAATGATTAACCAGCTGCCTGGAGCCCAGACGGGTGACAAGGTGCTGTGGTCTGTCTTAGGATAGGCAGTGAAGCCAAGCGGACCATTAATAATCAGCATTGTGGCCGCAAAGTCAGCCTCTTGGAATGTGTGGTCTCTCTTTCATGCTCTTTAGAATGTGCGTAAAGATGAGTCTCGGTGTTTTTATTTGTGTATTTGTTTATTTTTCTCCCTTTTTGAATCCACAGCAGACTGTCCAGATGCTGTGCCTTCCTCCGCTGAAACAGGGGGAACGAATTATCTGGCCCCTGGGGGGCTTTCAGGTAAGATGCTTTCTCTTATTTCCTGATGGTTCCAAAGGTTTTTAAAGTTGCCATAGACTGAATGCTGCTCTGGGATTTATTCTCATTTTTATCTGCCTTAAAATGGATGCTTTGAGTGACTCTGGTGCCCTTTTCCTGCTCATTATCCTGTGGTACTTTGGGCATCAGAACTCTTTAAGTTCATTCCACGAGTGGGGAAACTGGAGCCAGCTGGAGGGTGGATTTGAGCAAGACATGTTTTCATGGTTTTAAGCAGTTTCTGGCTCAAGGAACTTCTACTTGGTGACTTTGGTGTCATGCATTTAAGTTCCTTTTTTTTTTCTCTCTCTTGCCTTTTGGGTATGGGATCTCTTGAAGGTGTGACCTGCCTAAGGGCAGAATGGAGCTCAGAGTGGGTCTTGAACCTTCCCTCCAAGTCCTGATTACCCTTCCAGCTTTGTTCACGATTCTCCAGCACATGTCTGGGGATGGCTGCGCCAGGCCAGGGAGCTTTGCAGACAGTAGGTGCTATGGCTGCTTCCAGCAAGGCAGATTTTCCTTGCAGTTTACAAGGAACTCACCAACAGTGTAACTGGAAGGCATTGTATTCTTTTCTAAAGACATCGTATTTCTTCCTGCTTTTCCCATCATTAAATTTTCTAAGAACTAGCTGAAGCAAGAAGGAAAGTGACCTGGGGGTAAAAGCAGAAAGAAATTTTGCCAGAGTGCTGGGATATCAGGCTTTTTATTTTGTATCTTGTGTCATTGGTGTAAGTAATGTCATGGTGTAGCAGCTTGGATGGAAGCAATAAAACTGTGGTGCACCCTCTTTCGTGGGGTGACCCCGAGACCAAATGGGTCAAGCATTGGTGCTCTGTGTGATTCAGGTATGTTTCATCCCAGACAGTCTCCTAGGCCTTCCCGTCCAGGAATTGACTTGATGAGAATGTCTGTAGGGAGACCCTTGTTTGTTTTGGTTTCTGTGCAGTATATGGTGTTATCTGAGACAGAGGGTATTGTTTATGCAAAGCTTCTAATGAGAACTGGCCAGGAAAAGAGGGACCCCAGAGGGGTGGGCTGGGGGGTGGCACACAGAGGACTAGCCATTGAGAAGGGAGGTGGCAAACACAGCCACAGCGTGTGGACGGCAATCTTTCCTGCTTTCGAAGGCTGAGGGAGTTGAAAGTTCTTGAAAGAAAAGAGGGCGAGAAGAAGAAAGAGCCTCAGCAAAATAACAACACACTCAGGATGTTGTTAGATGGTTTTATTTTTTAAACCCTGGGTGTGCAGGGAGGAGTCCTAGCCCCTCCAAACCACATGAAATAAGCAAGGGAAGTGGTAGCTTTTGAAAGGGGCTTTTCGGAAGGTTTGTCTTATTGATAACATCTTGTCTGTCTCCTTTGCTGGAGGAAATGATGACACCAGGCTGAGCCACCAGCCCAAGCCACTGCCTGAGCGCTTGCTTACTCTGCTCAGTAGCCGCACAGTGAGACCTGGGCAACGTTTTGTGATGGGTGGGCTTTATGTTCCCCAAAGCTCATTCAGTCCACACACAAAGAAGGTGTGCGTGGGGGGGGGTAAAGGAAGCATTATTGACTCCCCGCAATCCCCTATGGTAATTGCAGCCACTTAGATTAATGAGAGTTCCTAAGGAGTAGTGGTGTGTCTCTGAAGGGGTGGTGTGGTTTAACAAAACTGCAAAAAGCAGGAAAAAAGAGGGGGCTTCCACATGAAAGAGCATTTGTTTTGAATTTTAGCTCTTGATTTACTAATTCCCAAGGCTTCAAAGTTGGAGCTCTTTCTTCTTTCCGTGTGTAGTTGGAGCCATGTATTAATAATGTGCCGCGGGGGGAGGTTGTAGAAACTGCTCCTTGGGTTGGTGCCAGCGGTTTGGGGGTGTCCAGCAGAGAGTTGAAGAGCACAGAGAAAACTCTTCAGAGTGGAATCCCCCCTCAAAAGGTGATTTTTATGCCTGGCCAACTCAAGGTAGAGGGTTTTATAAGTACCGAAAGCTAAGACCTCTTTTTCAAGAAATTGGTGGTTTCGGGGGTGGGGTGGAGGGGTTGTCCTGGGCCTCATCTTCGCAGAGGATGAGGCAGTGAGGGTGCAGTGGCAGGACCCTGCAGAGGAAGGGGTTAGCGTAGCAGATGTCGGGGTGAGGAGGTAGCTGGGCCTTGCTCAGGGAGCAGGACATCTAGGTGGGCAGCAGTGAAAACACCCGCAAGGGATTTCTCTTTCCCCTCCCTTGAAATAACCTCTCTGAGTCTCTTTCACAGACCCTGTGTGCTGTTTTCCTTCCTGTCCTGCCCTGGCTGAGACCGGGCTTAATGAATGGGGCTCAGTTTAGGGTGGGAGGAAGGTCGGCAGCGGGAGCCAGGGCTTGATTCTCTTGGCAAGGGAAGAAGGGAAAGAAAAAACAGCAGAATGTGAAAATGTGGTGCCTCAGAGGTGGGGGTAGGGTGTGCTCAGAGGCCTAGCCCCTCCTGAAACTCAGGGGTAACTCCAAAGCTGGCCCTTCCCTTTCCTGCGCCCTTGCAGACCTCCAGCCCTGGAGGAAGGGGAGTGGGTGGGAAGGAGCTCTGCACACAGGGTTGCTGGCTGGCTGCAGGCTGGAATTCCAGCCCTGCCACTTAGTTGAAGGGGGGTACAGGGGGCCTGGTCCTTTGGGACTTGTAGTGAAACACACCCCACCTCTGCAAGTTTCCTCCGTCTGGGAAAACGGGACATTTTTAGAAGGCGGTGACTTGGTTCCAGGGGATTGTACTTTCATTTCTGTCAGCCGGCTCTCAGACAGATGGATTGCTCCGTGCAAGCATGCGTGTGTGCGTGTATATGCGTGCGCACGCGCCATAGACAGGCAGTCCGGTGTTTAGACACTGGAGCACACAGATACCTACAGGCAGGCTCTGGGACAGGCTGGGGTTCTTGTCCCGGGAAATCTGTTGATGTCAGGGCAGCCTCTTCATGAGGATGTGGTAGGAATGTTATTTGTGGATTGATTCTAAACTATGATTTGGCAGCCTGAGTTCAGCTCTCTGGGCATTGGCATCCTTTGAATGGCATGCAACTTCAGATCAGGCGCTTGTTGTTTGGACATGAAAGCGTCAGGGTTTCGGAGGATCTACCTTGGCAAGGTCTGACGTAACTGGAAAGCTTCTAGGTTCAGCTCAGTGGTGGAAAAGGAAAGGATTTGCTCCCAGAGCTTTCATTGCATCCCTAGTAATGGAAAGCATGTGTTCAAAGCTGTCATCTTTGCAGCCTCCATCTGGAGTTTCTGGGGGGCTTGCTCTTCGCCTGTCTGCTGTCCTGGTTTGTGCAGGGAGAAGCATCTCACTTGTTCTAGATTACTCAGCTGCAAACTTATCCTCCAGCTGCCTTCTTGAGATGTAAATGTGTCTGGTTGGCACTGTCTTGGTTTCAGTCCGGTGGACCTCCCCAGTCAGAGCAAGATTGGGAGGACAAAGGAGGTGTCCCCATGGATTTCAGGAGGGTACTGGAGACTGAACTATGGTCTGGGGGTTGTGAGGGAGAGATAGGGGGAGGACCTCGTGTGTCTTTGCAGCCGTGCTTACTTGGAGGGACAACATCCTTCCAATTTAAGGGAGGCCACTTCCTTTGCTAAGGTCTTAAGATCCATGGTTGGCTTTTGGTTCCTAAGTCTGGAAGTAGGAGTGTCCTTGAGTCAGCATCCAGCATCCGTCTCTCCTGCTCTTTGATCCTTGCTGGCATTTTGTCTTAGCCTCAGAGAAGAACCTTCAAAAATACCCATATAATCTGAAAATGCCACCCTGGTTTAGTCTATGGCCGACTTGGGCTCAAACCAAGTAGCTTAGGAATGATTGCTCCATCTGTTTTAAGAAAAGTTATACAATGGCATGTGAACAATTATTTATTGTCTGGCTTGGAATTGTGATAGCGACTAGGAATCTGGGGCTGTGTGCCTATTGTGTTTTCAGTGTCTCCTCCCCCTGCCTGGGAACAAGTAGCTTCTGGTTTTACTGAGGTGCCATGGGGTGGGGGTGGGAATGGGGAGCACAGGACAGACTGAGATTGCAGCCCAGCCAGCCTTTCCTCCAAGTGACAAGGAACATGGGGTTTGAGGGAATCAAATGGGCGGCAACAGAGCTTCTTCCTCATGCCCCCATCATCTGACCTGCTATGATAAACAGAGAGCGTTGAAGCTCACATAACGACCTCGGGCTGGGGCAGGCTCATGTGGTGCACACCCACACTGAGTTGTAAACCAGTCCTGGACAGCAGCTCTGGCTGTTTGCTGACCTCTTCTGTAGTGCCTGAGGTCATGTACCCATCCTTGGAGAAGGGTTTTCTTTTGTTCCACAAAAGAATGAGGCAGTCATGCAGGGGTTAAATGCAAGGTGATGGTATTTAAAGTCTCTGGAGCAGATTTGAGCCACTCTGCTTATGCTTAGCAGACTCTAGATGGGCTGCTGCCTCATGCATCCTGTCCCCAGGCAGAACTGGGCTGGCCGGCGAGGAGGGGGAGGGGGCCAGGGGAGGCTGGCCCCAGTGGTACAGCTTTTGGCTGCAGTCTGGCACACGGACGCCCCTCAACTCCACTTGGTCCTTTTCTCAGCAGAGCCTGGCTGTAGACTTCTAAAACCTACGGGGCCTCTGGCAAGCTCAGAGCCAAGGGGCAGTGCAAAGGGAGGAAATGCCAAAGGATTCATGATCAAGTTGGGTTTCCTTTGCTTCTTTATTACTGCTGTTACTTATTCCATAATACTGCTCCTTGCGTTGGTATGATGTCCAAGCTGCTCTTGGTTCACTTCAGTCTAGGGCTTTGAACTTGCAGTACTACCTTTGAAATAGGTGTCATAACCTAGCAGGCTTTTTTAAAAAGACATAGGGTGTTAGTTCCTGGACTTGCTTGCACAGCTGAATCTCTTGGGAATGAGCCTTTTCTCAGATGAGATTTTTGCTTGATTGAAGAAATATTTGAGGAGGAAAAAAAGATAGTTAACTGCACCTTCTCTGATTTGCTTCCTTGTTGTGAGGGACAT